GGGGGGGGGGGGGGGGGGGGGGGGGATGAGGAGATTTATTGGCAACTTCCTCAGGATTTCCAAGAACATCACTCAAAGATTTCGTACATCAACAGTGGGAATATATTTTAAGACATTCGACTCAAAATTTCTCCACATTTTACTTCTGTGAAAGATGGAGGGACCCGGAAATGGACTGCTTTGTAGCATTTTGCCTGAAACATTTATAATTTGGCAAAGCTGTCAGGAACTTTTTCCCTGCTGTTTCCTGAACATACAAGTCAAAATCGGTTCTGATCTCTTAACATACGCCGGAAACAATTTAAAATTAAATTGAAGTGTAGGCTGTTAACTTTTCCCTCGTTTATTTTTTTAATAACCTTCGGTCTGGAAGAGGAATTACTTGCCATCAGTTCTTGGCTCCAGTTCTGACTCTCACTTTTGCTATTCAAAGTGGCTTCATCACTTGCATTCCCGTACGGTCGGATAAGTTACCTGGAAAATTTTCATTTTGTTAGGAAATAACTTTTTCGAAGTTCGAGAATGGTGTAGAAAAGGGGGGGGGGGGAAGTTCTCGGCAAAAGACGGCGATTTTCCGATCTGAAGAATGACAAAAGCATTAGTCTGATATGTGCAGTGTGCGTCTTGGTATTCGTTTTGAATTGGTCGCGTTACCAGGCGCATTACTGGCCAGTGCTTATAACTCCACATTTCTGTGATATCTTTAGACGCAGCGGTAAATCGGTGAGTGCCAGAAATCCGTCTTTTTGGTGTCTTAGTAAAAAAATTGGATACCACCGTCAGCTGGTAAACAATTTAATAAAGTCAAGAATTGAACAGTTTTCTGAAAAAGAAATTGCAAACGGTCAGAAGCTAGATACAGATAGCTGAAGTGCTATTTTTGGTATTAGTGTTCGAGGAAAAAAACCGCTTTTTTTGCAAATATATCTTGCTGTCAAACACTTGTCCAGTTGTTCTTTTTCAGAGAATTGAGGGTTCGAATTTAGTACTCTTTCAATTCGTTCATTCGTTCTGGTAGTAAATTGGTACTAGCGCATGCCAGTACGTCAAACCCGCCATCAAGCCGTTTATAAATAACCCCCAACAGCTTTATCAATGGGTTTTTGCTTTCAAATGTCCTAAAGAGCGACTGTAGGGGCGATATTGAACTTAACCTTTGATAATAACCTTGTTTTTTATTCAAGCGAATAGGATAATTTCCCCGAAGTATGTAGATAGAGTAGCAGTGGTATCCAGAACCTTTAAACATGTGCCGCAAATAACTGAACACATAATAGTAGCATCCTTCAGAACAACAGCTGCTCGACAGGTACTGTTCACTGGATTGCTTTATCGTTTTTATCTTTAATGGATTCTTACTTAAAAGATCTATTTACAGAGGAGGCTGTTAGAGTAAAGAGTCCACAGATCCCGAATGTCGATAAGGATAAGCCAGCATTCAACGAAGAAACAAAAGCTATAATCAAAGGTTGCTTCGGGTCTCTCTTTTCTCAAAAAAAACAAAAAGCAGACCTCTGTGAAGAGAAATGTTTAATTATATTTCCTCGAAATTGTCCTGAATTTTACAGCATTCAATATTTGTGAATATATTGCAGAAGCGGAGGAAGCAAAATCAAAATACGAGGAAATTGATAAGCGCCATCGGGAGATTGAGGATTTGATTAAGTATGTGATTATTACCAGCTGTAAATCGGATTGCCTTAAAGAAATGGAACATCTTTTTAATTTTTAAAAAAAAGCTTGTTGGTTCCTTCATATATTAAGTCATTAAATGCGCGAAATTTCATGGTAAATCATGTCGAGTGGGTATATCCCGTAGCCAGTAGCGCTTCTTTGAAGGGAATGAGACGGTTTTCACAGGGGAATGGAACACGCGCAAAATTACGTGGTAAATCGTGAATGAGTGAAAAAATCGTGATTCACGGTTTTTTCACTCGTTTCGTTAAAAAATTAATGGTGGCGCGTGTAGAGAGACAGATCTTCCGTCGACTTTCTTCGAGCAGTTTTCGGAAAAGGTAGTGGTCGGGAGTCTTACCAGCGAATAAATGACACTGGCACTTGTTTCCGCTCGGGCTACATTCGAGCGTTGTCGCCTCTTTCAAAGAGCTCACATCTGACTTTTGACACGAACTAAGTGCAGTCATCAGCAGTGCCAGGCATGTGATTGAATAATACTTAAAGGACGGATATATAAACCTTTGCAGGGATGTGGATTGGTATGCGAGTACGGATGTGGGCGATGACGCAGCGTGGGCCTCGCTAAAGGGAAAATGCATCGAAATGAATGAAAATGAGTACACCTACAAGCTGTGCTTATTTGACAGGGCCACACAGAAGAGTAGAAGTAACGATTTCGAAATCGAAATTGGGTATGCCTTATATGAAAACATTGAAACAATCAAACTATTTAACTGCTTCTGCTGCTGCTGTGCTCTTTTTCACATCTTTCAACGAACCCACTCTGTTCGGGTTTGGACTTTCCCGCAACGACGTAACTTGCACCCATTTGACGTGCAAATAATTCGTTCGTTTGCTGGTGGATTGCTTGCAAAGTATTATTTGTAACAGCACTGTATGCATTGGTGTATCAGGATCCACCGTAGCTGAAAACCTACTTTGTTGCTAGATTCACAGCTTGGCACGGTGCTCTGCTGCTGTAGTTTCATCTTTCTGCCCTTCGTAATTCTGGAATTTAATCACAAGACGGACGCACACACGCAAATTGCTTCTCCTTAGCACGCTTTATTTATTTTTTATACAGAAACGTATAAAATATGCCCGCAGAGATTAACAATGCTGGTTTTGTTTTTGTTACAGAAAATGGGGCAGCTGGATTGGTGAACCGGACAAATTCACCGTGCAAAAGTATGAGAACGGTGCAGCGTGCTGGAACGGACCGGAACGTTCCACAAAAGTGTACATTGAATGTGGCGAAGAAACGGAGCTTGTGGAAGTGTCCGAGCCAAACAAATGTGAATACTTGTTCACAGTACGCTCACCAGTTGCATGTCCGGACCCAGCTTTGCTCACCGATCAACATGAAGAACTCTGATCCCCGGTTTGTTGATTCCTAAATTTCTAGGTTCGTTGATAAAAAGTTTCATCTTTGTTAGCACTGCGAGTCCGTCACCAGCACTCGCCCACCACCGTTTCGCACTCTTTCTTGATTTTTTAGGACTTTCTATCACTACGGATTTCCCAGTTTTTATGAGCTTTCGAGGATTTTCTGATTTTTCAACTTGCTTATATCAGGCAACTGACATCAGAGAGTTTTTTTTTTTTTCTGGCAATATTTATAGTATTTTTTTAAAGTGTCATTTAAAATGCAATATGCAACACCATGTGCACCGCTCTTTAAGTCTGCTAAAAAGCGCTTGTTAATACAACTATCTGAAAAAGCGATCTCTGTACTTCCTCAGAGCGAAAACTGAAGTAACACGTGTACATGCTGTTTATGTTATAATGCTCTGACTGTTAGTCATTTCGCTACCAGCCCATCAGATCACTTTACGTGGTTGCAAAATTGTATCACCTGACAGTTGTTTGCTGCTTCTGATGCTGGCAAGCAGTGTTGTAGTTCAGGCGTGTCTGCAGTTACTCTGTTACGACTTGCCAAATAGGGGTCCTTTGTGCTGCGGTGGTTATCGATATATGAAGTCATACTGAAAGATAACGGCTGTAGGTGTTCTGAGATCATTGAACCTCTGCCGTAGAAATATTTAGTGCGATACTTTCCATGCTACTAATAATGCTTGAAGCGGGCCAAACACATGCAAACCCAAACATGCAATAATTATTTCCATTATCTGCAGAAAATCACGTTGAAACGGTAAGAGATGTTTTAGTCGGAGAATTCTCCCGGTTTCCTCGTTTTTTTTTGGTGACGAAAACCTGTGCCGCAAATGTTGTTTTCACTTGTTTTGTTATACTGGGTATTTTCAAAGTTCTGATCTGTGATGTTGTCAATATTGTAATACTGCAAAAATAGCTCTAGAAAAATCTTTCTCGACGACATACTGGTTCCCTCGAGAACAAGTGTCGCGAACACCGACCTCAGCGTCGAACCCGACACTTAGAACTAAAACCCTTGCTGCTAGGATCGTTGATTGATTGCCACGATAGCTTCGAATACTTGCCCACAAAAATAATGCAGACTGTAGCTGGCAAATCGCACGCGATAAAGTCTCGGTTCTTGAGTGTTAGCGGTGTGTTGATCCATTGTTAGTTGAGCGCGATTCGCCGGCTCCGAGTCTCAAATTTGGGTTATTAAACCTTTATCAATAAACAATAAAAAAAATGAACGTGAAAAATGCGTACGCAAAACATGAGACAACTTAATAACAACATATTACTGCACAAATTATGCGAAACAGTAATAATGGAAACTAAAGGAGGGATGGCTTGGAGGTACTATTCCGGTTGGATGTTCACCGTTCCGTGTTGATAACTGTGCGCTCCCCTCCAGCCCCCTCCCCCCACCCCTGCCCATCCTGTGCTTTTGTTGCTGTCTTCAAGCAACCACTAGCCCAACTAAAAATTAAAAGTCCGGTTCCCCAGCTTTGAGAGGGGACATCGTGGCGGAAGTGCTATGTTCACCGAACTATGAGGTCAGCCACTTTGAGCTGATTCATATTCTTGGCGCCAAAAAACATATAAAAGAGACTATCAAGAAGTACACTTGTCCGGAAATATAAATTGTAAACGAATTAAAATCACGATCATTTTTTTTCTGAGGAGGGTTGATCTCTTCGACAGCGGGCAGCAAACGCATGCCGTATCTGTTCGATTTTCTGATTTCTCAATCGTCAAAATCTGCCTGACGTTAGAATTCCTCCAGCACTGTGCTTTTTTAGGAAGCGAAAACATTCAAAAATCGCTGGAGTAAAGCATTCTGCCCAAAGTTGTCGATGTTGCCTCTCTCGTGAAGAATACGGAGTCAGTCCTAATTCTCAGAATTCACACTGCAATTACCATTTAAACAAAGAAAGCATACTTTTACTGTTCTCTGCTTCTGTAAATCACATTTTTTGCAATGGTTCAATGCCTAATAAGCGCATTCCGCTGTTCAGGATTTTCCTTGAAGTTGATAATAAAAGCAGTCGAGGGAGAGCAATTTTTAGTGGTTCACCGAGCACTCGAAGAACCGCAGAAGCGGAGCCCACTAGATTTGCCAAATGTAGCAGATATACGGTCAGCCGACACGGCTCCATTTCGTCGTAACTATCGTACAGGGCATCAGGAAATGCTTCCAACTGCTTCAGAAGTTGTGCGCTGGCTTCGTTCATCTCAAATTCGCCATCGAAACCTTCTTTAAAGTTATCCATTAAAGCTCGATTTCTTTCTTCGATTGAAGTGAGGCGGCTGTGCTTCATCTGAAACCGAAGTTACAATGTTTGTTTTTTACATGCAGCAATCCAGCTACGGAGTTTCGAAAAATTTACCTGCAACAAAAGGGCATTGGCTCGATTCATTTGATAGGCTTTGTCGAATGTGAACGTATAGTCGCTTCTTCGTGCTCTTCTCAGGCCCTCAACGACCAGTGTGGAAAGCGACAAATTTGCCGCCACTTCTTAAAAACTGCATAAATTAAATTTATGCAGACTTGAACAATATTCACACTGATACATATGTGAATGATACAGAGCACTGCCAGCTTCACATTTACAAATTTCTACCATGTCGACGTACATTGCCACTGATGTATTAACAGTGCCGATTTCTTGATATGGATCAGTTTTGACAATAATTAAACATTTTACATGGATAGGCGTGCCCGCCGAAACACTGGCATCACATTCTGTAGTAGAGCAGCAGTTACAAATCTCTGACTTTCCAAGTCTCTTCATTTTTAAGAAAGTCTATGAAAAAACTTACGAGAGCAATCTTGCCTAGCAATTTTTATCGTTTTTGATTCAGCAATAAACGATTCAGCAAGCTTAGCACCGTGCCTCAATATTTCTTCCACAGCTTCCACACTTCCTCGTCTGAAAAAAGCAAATTTCCACAGAAAATGGGATACAGTAGGAAGGAAACTCAGGCTGCAGTATCCAAAATTGCCGATGCGATCATGCGTTTTTAAGCTAAATATGCATATCATCAATCCAAATATTAAACCACTGCGAAAAAATGGCTCCTGCGCTGTGGTTTAACATCTAAACTCATTTTGGCCTCTTCTTGCATGCAAGAGTAGAGGAGAGTCGGTTGGATGAATCTTCAGCGTCTATAATTATTGAATCTATATGAAGCCCGGTCGTTTTTCCGGTGAATGGCCGTCCCATACAAGAGATGCACTTACTGCCTAAGTCTTAACGCAACTGCAAGTCGAAACTTATTTTAAGTGTATTATTTGATGCAGGGACAATAAATATTCCGACAAAATCTCAGCCACTGTTTTCCAGTTAATTTTCGAGTTAGCACAGTGCCAGCTGCGAACTTTGACCGTACGCGCAGCACAAGCGTGCATGATAGTTGACTTTAAATATTGTCTGGTTCCCGAAACCGTTTCCCGTCAAAGAAATTTACATATTTTTTCCGGAGGTCCATATGTGATGTCTAGGGGCTTATGAGCAGTGATTTTAAGTCCAAGAGAGTGATACATGGGGTGGGGATATGTTCCCAAAATTATGGCTTCCCAGCGTTCCTGGTTGCTGAGTTGAAATTGGAGAACGAAGTTCACCTGCTTCCGAACAACGCACACACACATACACACACATACAGACACGCACGACCTCTTCTGCTCATTGCAGCAGCGCTGCACAGCAGAAACGCATAAAAACAAACAATGTACAGAAAAAAATAATTGGCCAACGCACGGGCTGCCCGTGCGAAGATGCATTTTTTGCAGAGTTCCCCGCAGTTTTT